GCACCTTCCTCTTTATGATGCGCCAAATGTTCTCTATAGGTGAAAGATCTGGACTGCAGGCTGGCCATTTCAGTACCCGGATCCTTCTCCTACGTAGCCATGATGTTGTGATTGCTGCAGAATGTGGTCTGGCATTATTGTGTTGAAAAATGCAGGATCTTCCCTGAAAGAGATGACGTCTAGATGGGAGCATATGTTGTTCTAGAACCTGAACATAGTTCTCTGCATTAATGGTGCCTTTCCAGACATGCAAGCTGCCCATGCCACAAGCGCTCATGCAACCCCATACCATCAGTGATGCAGGCTTCTGAACAGAGCGTTGATAACAACTTGGGCTATCCTTGTCCTCTCTGGTCCGGATGACATGGCGTCCCAGTGTTCCATAAAGAACTTCAAATCGTGACTCATCTGACCACAGAACAGTCTTCCATTTTGCCACACTCCATTTTAAATGACCCCTGGCTCAGTGCAAACGTCTGAGCTTGTGGAGCTTGCTTAGAAATGGCTTCCTCTTTGCATTCTAGAGTTTCAGCTGGCAACGGCGGATGGCACGGTGGATTGTGTTCACTGACAATGCTTTCTGGAAGTATTCCTGAGCCCATTCTGTTATTTCCTTGACAGTGGCATTCCTGTTTGAGGTGCAGTGACGTTTAAGGGCCCGGAGATCACGAGCATCCAGTAGAGTTTTACGGCCTTGACCCTTACGCACAGCGATTGTTCCAGATTCTCTGAATCTTTTGATGATGTTATGCACGGTTGATGATGATAACTTAAAAGTCTTTGCTATTTTACGATGAGTAACACCATTCTGGTATTGCTGCACTATCTTTCTGTGCAACAATGGTGGAATTGGTGATCCTCTTACCATCTTGGCTTCTGAGAGACACTGACACACTGAGAAGCTCTTTTTATACCCAATCATGTTGTCAATTGACCTAATTATTGTTAATTGGTCTTCCAGCTGTTCGTTATATGCTCAATTTCCTTTTTCCAGCCACTTATTGCTACTTGTTCCAACTTTTTTGGGATTTGTTGACACTGTGAAATTTTGAATCAACATATTTTTCCTTTAAAATGTTACATTTACTCAGATTAAACTTTTGATCTGTCATCTATGTTATATTACGAATAAAATATTGACATTTGCCATCTCCACATCATTGCATTCAGTTTTTATTCACAATTTGTTTTGTGTCCCAACTTTTTTGGAATCCGGTTTGTAAGTAGTTATCATATTTAGTACCTTATCAGCAATGATTTTGATCATACAGCATGGAGAAGGGAGAAAGAGGTAAACGTCTTTGTCCAGGCTTGGCTAAAGACTAGCCTGGCCCAATCGATTTTTAAGCACTTAACACTTAATGATTTTCATATTAAACCTCTGCACGTTTGCATGACACTGTTTTCTTAATTTGACGCTGTTGTCTCAACTGAACAAGATTTGTGGCAACAAAAACGCTTAAATCTTGTCATATGAACTAGTGTTTTTTTTTTTTTAAGTGAGAAACGTTTCATTTTGATTTGTGGCATTTTTCAAATGTAGCTTGAACGTAGTTAGACTGTTACATGCTGACACTACTTGAGAAAACGGCAACAAACTTAACAATGCCGTAAAGGTTTAGAGGTATGATATCAGCTAAAGCTGCATTCTTTCACACCAGTGTTGTGGGTTTTTTTTTTTTTTGAGAAGTAATCAGTTCATAAGTCTGAAAAACCGTAAGACAGGCCTTCGTTAGGCTAGCTATTAGCCTAGCCTGGACTAAGACCCTTTCAACATTCTCTATGCTCCATGACAGATGTCATGGCTGATAAGATACTAACTGTTGCAAGCTACTGGTATTTGACCGAACCTCACTTCACAGTTGACTGAAGTATCCCTTAAATGTGTGTGCCCCACAGCTTGCTGGGAAATATGACCCACAGAAGGAAGAGGAGCTGAGGCTGTGGATGGAAGATGTGGCGGGCAAAAGAATTGGAGAAAACTTCATGGAGAGTCTGAAGGATGGAGTCCTGTTGTGCGAGTGTGTGAAACTCCAGCTACACTAAATCATCCTTTAATAAAACTAAAGTTAAATCGTTTGTTTTTGAATCTTTGTAGGCTGATTAATATTCTCCAGCCAGGCTCTGTGAGGAAGATCAATCACTCTAGTCAGAACTGGCATCAGGTAATGTAGCCACTCCAACTCTGCTTATTGGTGCACTTTTGTTTGCATACCATCACCCTGTCAAAGGAAACATTTCAGTTCTTCAATTAGCCTTTTACAGAGTGAAATAAAACACTTTTGTGATGAGACACTGTTACAAACACAGAAGACTTGGACTTGAAAGCAGTACCGGTAGTTCAGATTTTTAATTCCCTGCAGCAGTGTGCATTAAACACAGCAGACATCACAGATCATTGTTTTGAATCTGGATTAATGTTGACCTAAAGGACAAACTCTGACTGTAGGCTACTTCACAAAACTGTTCCTCCAATTCAGAATCAGAATAAGCTTTATCATCATTGCACCGAAGTACAGTGAGATGTTCGTACACTCGTCCGAAAGATGGGTGCAAAAGGGGAAAGACCATGAGGAGAGGATAGTGGTATTACAAACAAGATCTCTTCACACCTTTTCCTTGTCAGGGCATGATTTAAGTCATAAAATACTCAAGCAAGCACATTTATAGACACATTACATTACATATGCATTTGACAAGAAGACAGTGAGATTTGTCCATGGAGCACTTCCAGATAGCATCATAGTCCTGATAAGATGTTGGTGTCAGCTGATACAGCTCTGGTAGGTGTTCAGAGGAGGTCTGGTACGTTCCGGCAAGAACCAGCTCAAATTGAGCACTGACGTTGGAGCTTGAGGTGTTTTGTGAAGCAGCCTTATATCTGACTTGCCTCTAATCCTTTAATTCACCTTTGCATCCTGCCTGTGGTCTTCCTTAGCTGGAAAATATCGGGAACTTTGTTCGTGCCATCACAGAATATGGCCTGAAGCCTCACGACATCTTCGAGGCCAACGATCTGTTTGAGAACGTCAACCACACTCAAGTCCAGTGTTCGCTCATCGCTTTGGCTGGAATGGTGAGCGTACAGCTCTGGAGAAAATCTGCAGGATTATGTGCCCAGCTATAATTTCATCCACCTGTAGATGCAAGGAGCAGAACTATGCAAAGTTCACTCCTCCATCACTGTTTTCCTTTTGCTGTCTCAGGCCAAATCCAAAGGTTTCAACTCAAAGTATGATCTGGGAGTCAAGTATGCTGAGAAACAGCAGCGACACTTTGCTCCTGAGAAGCTTATGGAGGGGAGGAACATCATAGGCCTGCAGGTTAGAAATGCTCTATATTAACTTTATTATTTTAGGTTTTAATTAGAATTTTAGACATAACGTAATGTTTGATTTTCAAGAAAACCTCAGATTTTAACCTGTAAGATAGTAACAAAATGTAAAAAAAAAAAACCTGCGACATAAACAGTAGTTCTTTTGTTTCCTTTGCTGTGATTGAGTTGCAAAAATACAACAACAACAGTGTATACCATCAACTTTCTAATGTTTGTTTCTTTTCATTTTTCTAGATGGGCACCAACAAGCTTGCCAGCCAAAAAGGCATGACCTCCTACGGGACGCGACGCCATCTGTACGATGCCAAGATAGGTATGGACAACCCAGCAGACCAGTCCACCATCAGCCTACAGATGGGCACCAACAAGGGAGCCAGTCAGGTGAAGTGAAACTTCTTGTTTTGGTCTTCGTCCATTTTAGCATTTGATAAAAAAAAAATAGAACTCAGCACAAACTTTTCAAGGATTCAGTTCTATTTTTTAAAAAGGAAGATGGCAGAACCCATTTTTGTTGCTATTTTTCATCACTACAAAAATAGATTACAAATAAATACCACAAAGAAAACATCACAAGACATTCTTCATTGTATGTTCTGTTATTTGTACAGTCAGACTCCAGGAGCCAGTTCAGCCTCCATTCTTTTTTGACATGAATTTACACACACAAATAAATAAATAAAAAGTAGGCTCCCAGGAGGATTGGTCTGATTTGAACATAAATTGGTCCACATGCAGACCAGTGATGATAAATGATGGGATTTGCCAGGACCTGACATGTCTAGAATAAACACAAAAGGTGGTGTCACAAGTGGAGTGATAATTATAACGCGATTGCCAAAACAGTGAGTGAAGTTCAGCAGACACGGAGGGAGGATGCTTCATAGATGCATTAGACAGCAATAGCAGCCCTTGATGGAGTTCTAAGGGTTTGCGTAAGGCTTGGTCCTGACAGGTATATCATGTAAATGCCCAGCATGGGGTGTGTATAAATGTCACAGTGGCCTGATGTTGGAACCAACGTGTATGTGAAGCACTCACACAAGTTGTGAATGTTCCACTCACCAACAATAGACTATGCCAAGGGAGAATTGTGGTATTGTTTGCCAAGCATAACAGAACTTCATGACATATGCCCCTGCCATTCAGACACAGGCACTGGACTCTTTACAACACCCCGCGTTACTCTTCATCATGTTTCAATTGGTTTACCACACTACTTTATGCTGCTGTGAGCAGGCATGAACTGAGGATGAGCGGTGTCATACCAAGGTCAGAGATGAATCTCAGTTTATGACTTTAGATGGCATAGCAGCGTTGAGGGAAGAGAACCAATTCTGCCAATTTCGTGGATAGACTCATTGAGATACTCCTGGCACTGTGGTGTGGGCAGATGTAGGGTCTGACTTCAGATCCATCTCTGGTAATGATTTAGGAGACCATAATGACACAGCTCTACATCAGTGACATTTTGCATCTGTATGTCTTAACCTTCCCAAGACAGCACCCTGGTACAGTCTTTCAACAAGACAACCTGTCCAAACACATCAATTGTATCCATGGACTGCTGTGTCATGTTGATGTCTCCTTGTAGCCAGCCAGGTCCCCTAGTATTTCTCCAATCAGACATTTGTATCAGCTCGTTTGTCAATTCCAACTCTGAGCCAGTCAAAAAGATCTTCCGGGTCAGTTACAAAAACTGGGGGCCAAATTTCTCCAGGAAAGGACACATGTCTGACACTGTTTTGTACCAAATCACCGCTTGTGTCCAGGCTTACCCTACTGACATGGTACCAGCAGTACGCCAATACTGCCCATGCCAACAATGTTTGATCTGATTTTTTGCAATACAGTCACACATGGCCTGTCAGCACATGCAGTTTGTTTAATTTCAGCCATTTTGACTGGGCGCTTCACTTATTTTTAGTGAGTGTATATCAACAAGCTTGCAGTGGTGGGATGTAACTAAGTACAAATACTTTGTTACTGTACTTAAGTACATTTTTCATGTATTGTACTTTACTTAAGTAGAGTTAAATGTGGGTACTTTATACTTTTACTTCACTACATTTTACATCAAGTATCTGTACTTTCTACTACACTACATTTCTATGATGCGTTGAGTTACAAGTTACATTCATGTTGTGGCTTTTTGATTTGTTACTTTGAAAGTAACCAACGGTGAGAGGGGAGCTGGTCCAGTGAATCACTGCAAAGTGGGCAGGTAACATTAGGCCCGCCTTCAAGAAGAGCTGGGCCAATGACATATATTCTAGTATATATGTCACTGAGCTGGGTGCACCCGCAGCACCACTAGCACACCCAAAATGTATTCCACCACAAGAGAGTCAGCCAGAAGATTTGCTCCACCCATGGCCTTATTGAATGATTATTGAAAGATTATTGAAAGGCTCAGTACAACAGGACAGCTTCTCTCTCCCAAAAGAGCCAAATTGAACTCAACAATCTTTGAAAACCAACTTCGTCTGAACTTGAACTAGAAATTCTTGCTGCAAAATTAAAATGTGTCAGTTCATGGGATGTTAGGAAACAAGACATGTCTCCAAATGGCTCGACACTCAGGTCCAAGTTTTAAAAATGGTCAGGAAGTTAAAATATAGTTCAATATTGACCCATTGCAAGGTTGAATAGACAGTATTTTAACTAGAGTTGAAATATCAGTGGAAATGATCAGATTCCTTTGTCAGTTGTGTCTAATGCCCCTTTTGTTCAGGCAGATAACTTTAACTTAAATGTGTTTACTGCAGTTAAAATTGTCGTAGTCTGAGGTTAGCAGCGAACCCAGAGTGCAGAACAGGGAC